CAAAAAAATATTTGTTATCGCCGCAAAGAGGACCGATTTTCTGAAATAACGCATGTTTATTGATCTATTCCACAGATTTTTGAGGAGCGTAGCATACCGAGAATTTACGTATTTGGTTCATGGTCATCTTGGTGGAAACAGGATTCCTTTGCCAGCTTGCGCATATCATATCATTCGAAAAACATTTCTAGAAAAGGACAACGAATTCCAAGGTTTTGATATGGACACAACGTTGTAATACACAGTATTWATTTTATCAGTGGCTGTACTGTGGAAAATTAAAAATTCTTTATATGGGTAAAGATGGTCGATCCTGTCATTTCATTATTAAGTAGGATTTAATATTCATCATTTTGTTTTAAAATTGTCATTGTATTTATTAAATGTTTGAATTTCAACTTTACATAGGAGGCTAGTAAAAGAAACCGAAGCAATCAGCAACAGATAATTATTAAAAATATGAAACACCATGTCTAACAACTTCTTGAAGTATTCCTTATACATGTCAAAACACTTTTGTGGTCTTTCATTGGCTTTTTACATTCAGAACAACATGGGGCTTTTCTTTTCTTTTTCTTTGGTGGTTTTGTAGTTGAGATCTCTTGCTCTTTAGGTGGTTCTAAAAAAATGCATGAGATTTTTGTAATGTGATGACTTGCAAAAGACAGTTTTGGTAATATTGTGTAATTGACAAACCTGGTGTACAAGCTGGTACATCTTTAACAGTCATGGACTTCCTTCTATGGAACTTTTCTATGGCATCTTCCCTCATTTCTTTATCGAGCATTGTGTTCATTGCTGCTGGTGTCATCTCTTTTAATTCCTCGATAGCCTCAGTAAGGGTGTTGCTGTTGATGTTGCTAACCATGGTTTGATAGACCTCCTCCACATAATCTGAGTTGAACAAGACATATGTTAGAAGTGATAGCAATTAATAAAATAATTTTCAATTAATTTCAAAATCAACTACACACATAACTAATAGTTTTTTTGTATTTAAAGTAATATCCATTATTGCAATATAGATGAAAAAATAGGTCTTACCATAGGATGGCTTCACTTTCACATTTCTAATGGTAGCTTCACCATTTTTGAATTTTGGAAAAATTACTGAAATTTGCTCTGAGCCATCAGGCCTTTTCCTGAATTCCCTATGTAAGTTGGTGTTGAAGTGTAGAACTGCGATGATATGCCTAAAAATAAGTTTACAAGAGTATTGTTAATTACAATGCTAAAGTTTACAAGAATGTCACTAGTAAATATAGGAATTAAAACTAATTAATGAGAACATCATTGTCAGTGATATTGATACAAACCTGCATAACATTCCTACATAGGAATAGGCGATCATTTTTGGTGCAAAATGGTTTAAGACTGAATGAAAGCCTTCAAGGCAACTCGTTTGATCAGCTGCTGATGCTTTTTCTATTGCTGCAACAAGCCTTGTGTTGGTTAATGCCTTTTCAACTTTTTCATAAACAAGGGAATCTACAAGTTTAAAGCAAAATAGTTACAACACAATCAGATATATACACTGTATAATAAGCAAAGTACATTTTTTGACATCTTTTACACTTTTACATTCATATGTTTCACCACTGTTTGTTAATTATGCTTATAACAATAATTAAGTATGTTTACCTTTGGTCAACCATTTACGTTGTGGAATATTACTTGAATGGGCACATTTCTTGAACATTGGGTCATCGAAATTCTCATGCTTGTTGATGATATGGTTCAGGTAGGACTTGAACTTGGACCATATAAGTTTTCCACTGCCAGTGATGGTTGATGTCACACTCCAATAAAAATGGTTTGTGCATGGCTTTATCCATTCTGCTAGGGCTTCACACATTTTCTCTTTAGAAATCTTCACCAAAACCTTTTGGATTTCTAGTTAAAAAAAATTATCATTAAAACTGTACTCTAGTTAACATATTTAAAATATTACAAGAACTTACTTTTCTTTAGATGCCATAAATCATAGTAATGCTTAATATGACTCAGTTTTTCTCTCATGTGTTTGGCTATGGAAGTGTGCCTATCTGAAATAAATGCTCCAACTACCACACCACTTCCAAGAATAAAATTGATACAGTTTTGAAAGCCCATATATTCCATGGCTGGGCTGCTTCCAGCTTCATTCCTCTGTGGATTAGTAAAAAACAGGAAGCAGTAAATACATGTTAATAAAAACGATCACTATCCATTTGGTCAGTATTGAAATATCATACATGATTTTTGAATTCAACTGCAGCAAAGGTCTTAAAATTTTACCTGAACTAGTGTGAAATGCAGAATGAGAGGTAATGTACAACAAAATAGTGTGTATGCACAGTACTTCGCACTGTGCCCCATGCTATCATGTCGTCCATCACCAGCCATCACCACATTATTACCAAGGTCTTTCACTTTTTGCAATAACTTTTGCTGATATGCTTTCCAATGGACATGAATTGAAGGAAACAGGATGTTCTATAACGGAGCAAAAACAACAATTATATATATTGTAACAATCATAGAAGGCGTTAGTTATTTAGGACAAAAAACATTTTAACTTTACTAGTAGATAAATAAATGAGCACCTACCCGTTGATGACGAAAGAAAGTTGCCAAGGAAATGCACGATAGACCCATGTGCTTGAAAACCTGGGAAACTTTACTTATGGAGCCTCCAGCCATGAGAATAGCAAAACATAATAGAAGATTTCCAGCAGCAATTCTTGTGCCTGGAAAGTTTGGCTGGCTTTTCCAAATGTACTCTTTACGGCACTTAAGATTTGTACATGCAGACTTTACTTCAACCATTGTTCCAATCACCCGTCTTGTAACTAGTGGATTGTCACTTTTGCAAAAGTGGCAAACATTAAACAAAAGCAAAAGCTGCGATAAAAAAACAATGTGCTTTGGCTCATCTCTCAAATTTCCATCACTAATGTGAACCCCAGACCTATAAATAGCAAAAAGATGCCTTGTTAATCAAATTCAGCATTACAATTATCACTAACAACAAATGGAGTAATCCTAATAATTCTGAAAATGTTCAAACCTCTGGTCAGCATCATCTCCATCTGACTCTGTCTCATCTCCAAAAGTCATTTCAACCTCAGTCACGTTGTCAACATCAGAACTGTAGTCATGGCAACTATCGTAATCCATATCACAGTCGCTGTCATTATCAGGGATTTCATCGCACAGAGTTGGTAAGGGAACTGGATTTAGAGGTTCTGACGTGTATGAACAGTACATTAGAAAATGATAAAGTCATGAAACATAACAACACAAAATAATAATTGTGTACGACCATGCACTCAACATTGAGAATCAAAGCAAATTTTATAGCAGCTTACCCTCTTGTAGTAAATTGCCATCCAAACTCTGATCACTGCTCAGATCATGATTCTTTTGCTGTTTTTTTCTCAGCTCGTATCTACACTTTTTTAGTTTTATCTTCGTAGAGGTCCATTGATTGCACAGTTGGCGATTTCGCTTTTCCAGGAATTTGCATGCGTCACAATCAAAATCTGGCGTTTGAGTGCTCTTTATACACGGCTGCATGGATAAAATACCTTATGTTAGTATTACATATCATTGCTTGAAACTTGTATGCAAACATACCAAATCTGATATTGATGGAACTTCGACAAGTTCGTGATCGGCTTCTTGATCTGTCTCGCTGATCGTGCAATTATCGTTAATATCTTGAACTGGTGGCACCTGTACTACATCGACCTTGTCCTCCTGAAGTTGATGCTCTCGATCATCATGACTACATGTATTCTCTTGTAGAATTTCCTTGAAAATCTAAAGATAAGAATCCTGAATCAAGAAAAGCTTATAAAATAGACAATAATCATTAAAGTTATAATGCAGTCTTACCATTCGCCTGCGACGCTTTTCAGCTGACTCGGACATTTGCTTTGGTCTGTCCTTGTAAACTGAAGGAAAAGCTACAATGCCGATTTCATCTCTCTTGAGTCTTTGGCTGTTGGATGCAGATTGTCCCGGAATCCATGCAAATTGTCTGGCATAATCTTCCGGATTGAAATGATCTGAACAGATCATTGACGATTGTGTTGCTGTCCAGTTTTTTCTTCTAATCTGGACAAAGTCTGTCCATCTCTTTCGGCGTCGAATTGCGTCAAGTCTCTGGTCACCGTAATACGGAATTTTGTGAAGAGAAATACCGTTTTCACGACTGTTGATGTTATCACAGCCGCCCACTACACAGCGATCGGGCATTTTCGAAAAAAAAACTTATTCTTGAGTAAGGAACTATAGAGATTTTCTGTAGATTTTCACTGGCAGCTCACTGTAAACAATATAGATCTGAGTGCCGGGTTCCGTGAATGACGTCATGAAGTTTTGGAAACCAGTCTTCTGCATCGCTCCGAAATTTTAGCACAGGAAGCCCAAAACGGGCATTTTTACCACTTTTAGGCCTTCAAAAACGGCACTAAAAAATTTTTTTTTCGAGTTTAACCTATCAAACATAATTCATGACAGTCTAAACTTTCATTTAAAAGAAAAATCGCTGAACCGATATATGCACTTTAAGACTTATCTTGAATTTATTCTACTTGTTGTTGTGTCTGTTTATATTTTCTTCTCTTATACTTGAAAATGTGAATGAAATTCGTTTTTCCTTGAATTAAAACAGCGATTAGTCTTTTTTATCGCTATTTTTGAGCTCAAATCACMMCAAGGCGCKTTGTATTTTCATGTTTGTTTTTGACAAGCTTCCACGAGCTTCGACAGCGATGTACGAGTTGTATTCGCGTGGTCCTGGAACCCAGTGATATTTGCCACAGACCAGCTTACCCTGTTAGCTAAATATACTTCTGAAGCTTTTACGTCACATAATTGATTTGCAATGCATTGTTAGTCAGTTTCTCGAGATAACAAAAAACCTTCATACCCCAAATATATCCTATAATACGAAAGCTTGACTTATTTGATGGCTACAATGAAGCTTTGTATCATTCCCTACTATCGGGTTCCCTGTGTTTAGATTTTAGCGGTGGTCAGCGGTTGCTGATGATATCACAAATGTTACTATGGTTACACYAGTTTTTTCAAAATGGCGGAGAGTTTGTCAAGACAAGTAGTAGCATTGAATGTAATAGAAATTTYCTAACTATAAAAAGAAAAAAACAATGTCTGAGCAAAAAGAAGTGGAGGTCGAACCTCCAATGCACATTCAGCGACCGTCCTCTGCCCGCTCTCAAGACGTTTCGCATATTTTAGCTGGGGTTTTTCGCGATGTCTTCACTCGGGATACTGTTGGTAAGCAGTTAGTCAAACACTTAGCGACTTCACGTAGTGGAGAAGAAGGATACCACGATAAATACGTCAAACAACTTCATCAGGTATTACCTTAGCAACAAGAGTACTAATTATTTGGGGCATTTGCCAGCTTGTTATAGAAGTCATTCGTTGTATGTTTTTCGCCAAACCTGACGAGAAGTGTATGCTATGTACACCGCCGTCTTGTCAAGTCAGCTGAATGAACACAAGAAACAAAGGAATTACGACAATAACAGCAGTTGTAATTTTCATCCAAAGTGACGGATAATTCAGCAACAGAATGTTTTAGCCATTTGAACTTGTTATTAATGTTTTCTAGATTCAAGAAGAATGCGCGAAGCGTCATAGAGAAGCAGACATGTTAGAGGCACACATAATGCAGGCCCAGGCTGCAGCGATGGCTGCTGATGAAAGAGACTTGCAAAATACCCTTAGTGAATGTGAGAAATATCAAAATCTTGGACTTCCTCCTGGTGAGATAGGAACCTATGTAACTGTATACTGTACAATAATACATCAAATGTATTTGAGATATAAAAAAGATCGATTACAGTATTAATTTATTATACCTTTCTATAACTCAATTTTGACAATAGAAAATTAGTAGTGTACAGTATGATCACAAAAAAGTGTACTAATATGTTAATTTTCCTGTACTTGTAGGTCATTCAAACTTAAGAAACTGCCTTGATGCACAGTTACTTCGAAAGTTCAATCTAATAGTACCAGAAGACTTTATATCTAATGGAGCCAAGTCTACCAGTCCACCTAAAGGTAAGGACTCTGACCATAAAGGTCAAGCATATCATACAGTCTTCTTAAAAGGTACCTATAMCTGTATATCAAAGGAAGAAKTCCAGTTAACTTGCAATKATAGATACCTRTGAATATAGTTATTGATGTAAAAAAAATTGTTAATCATTGCAAGGTCAATATTATATACTAGGTATCTCTCTTTGATGCAATTATACGTACCTTTAAAATTGTGAAATTGAAAATAGGAAATTGTAAGGAAGACTATTGCACACTTACAAAGTATTGCGTTCATGTGAGAATATGTCTTAATTTCAGCTGATGATGTTCCAAGTTATGCAAGATGTACAACCTCATCTCAGCAGCGWTAYCGTAAAACACCACCCCTGACRGACTATAGAGATGATATGACGTCGTCTCTAGGGTATACTGCTACTAGTGTGACATATGAAAGACGGCCCATAGACAGTCCAGCTCTTCCTATTGAAAGTGGTGCAACGAGAAGTTTCAAAGTAAATAATACTAAATATTATAGAATATTAAAGTGATTTATTGAGTCACAAAGACTATCAGCATTTGTGGGCTTTGTTGTACTTGATACATTTTGTAGGTTATGATGAATTAGTGATTGTTTGATTCACAAAATCTGTAGGCATTTGAGATTTTCCTTAAAGTTTGTACATTTTGTAGTTTAACACCAAAAATAACAATAACGACAACAAACAGCTATAAATTTTCTTTGTACAGAACAATGGTACCAGTAAATTCAAATAATGCTATCTTGACATTTAATAATGTTGATGTGATTTCCTTAGAGCAAGACAAAGTCTACAGATAGTAAAACAATGTCATGGAGGGAGTCTATGAAGCCAAGCCAGAGACAAATTGAAAGAGAAGACTTGCAAAGATTGAAAAGCAAGTCAGAGTACAAGAGAAATCCAAGGTTTGTGCCGCCATTGACTGCAGACCTCATCCAGACCAAGTCAAGAAATGCTAGTAAACCYAAACCTTTGGAAACAGATAAAGAAAGGTACACTAAATTAAATTTGTCTTTTGCTTTTAAGGAATTATTGTCAGTCTGTTAATCAATTTTTTGCTTTTGGTATATGTACACAATGTTGATAATAGTTTTCTTGAAACAGTTCCATAACAGCAGTACCAGTTTTTGTTGCAACTCCAAACCCTTTGGTTTTCACAGACTACAAGGCTGGAGAAGTATATGAGGTATTGCATACATCTGACTATTCATTATACATGTATTTTAGACGTTTTTTGAAGCTTTTTCTGCTTATTTTGTAATTCTGATATTTATTTATATACATGGGTCTTTAATGGATTCTATAGTATGTTAAATATGCATCAAATGACAAGTATGTCTTTATTCTGATCCTGTTTTTCTTTTAAATAGCTTTCAATTGAACTCAAAAATGTAACTTCRTCAAGCCGCCAAGTCAGRGTTGTCCCTCCATCAACCCAGTATTTCTCAGTAGGACTGGGTCGCTTTCCTAGYGAGAATGGTGTKGTTGCTCCTGGTATGAGCTGTGTTTATAACATCAGATTTTCTCCTGATTCTTTGGCTGATTATGATGATATTATTAAGGTAGGTTTTCTGTAGCCTCCTCTGCAGACACCACWGTGATTCTCTATGTGGGTTTCCTGTGGTCATCCGAGGGGAGGAGCTTGTGGAGGAGGCTAAKTTTTCTGTATAACAATTGTGTAGACCACATTTTGAGATAAATATTATTTGCATCACCYCTCTTACACCTGTATTGGAAAATAATCCATTATAACCAGATACTTAGTCCAGGAACAAAACCTAAAAGCCTAGAGAAGCTTTGAGAATGCGCTTGCTTAGTTGTACTAACAGACGTGGTGGCACAAAGCACTTATATCTTACATATATACCATTTCTTTAAATATTGCTTGATAGATCAAGACCCAAGTTGAACCTTCCATGGAAATCCCACTACAGGGCAGGAGAACTCCACCTCAGCTGTCATGTAAGCTTGCTTTCTGTCCTTCTATCATTCTATCTCTTTATAACTTTAATGATAACAACAAATAATGTTGTGGTACTGTCTTATTTCTATAGTAACAAGTATCTTGAGTTGTGGTCATACTCTTGTTGGTGGTACCAAAGTGGTTCACTTCACSTGTACTAACAGGGGAGGTGATGGGCAGTTTTGTGTCATGAGAAAAGATACCTGGCCAACAAGTGAATTTAAGGTATGATTTCGTGTTTTGTTCTTATTTTGGCAGGGGCAGATCCAGGGGTGGTGCTTTGGGTGTGGACGCATCCCCCCTTTTTGACGACATATTTTTTAATATATTAGTATAAACGTTGTTTTCTGCTGTTTATACTCCTGTTGTACTTTAATCGAGAAAACGAGAAGCATACACAACATGTATCTGCCTTTCTTATGCTGCCTACATCTATTTGACTAGTGTAGTCAAAGATATGTTGCAATAAAAGTCAATTTAATGCTTTCAGTCAAATTGTGCATAATTCTGTCTAGACAATAATGATCAGTTCCATATATTACTGATAAAAGCACCCCCTTATAAAAAGAGGAATTATTTTTGAGGAATAATGCAATTATAGTCTGAATGAGAGGAAGGGTGTTCATGTACAGTTGGAAGAAGTATAATATCTGTTTCAAAGAATTTTTTGATTCACTTTAAATAAAGTTGTAACGTTCCAGTAATAATAATCTATGTTTGTTTTCCAGTGGAGTTTAGATGACCCAGGGGATGTTATCATGTCACCATTTACATTCAAACCTGCTATGTTTGAGCTCAAAAATGGACAGACTATCGATCTTGAGGTAATAATGAAGTACATGACTTATTGGTGCACTTACAGTTCTTACAATGAAGAATTCATCTTAAGATTAGTATAGTTTAGTTTAGTTTTACATGTAACTTATGATCATTAACAGGTTACGTTCAGCCCTACTGGTGCCAAGTTCTTCACGCAAGAAATGGTCATGGTGTGCGATAATTGTCACGTTAAAGCCTTCACTTTAGAAGGTAAAACTTAAGTTGCATTTATAGCTTTACTAGTTTGTAGCAATTCTAGTATATTACACCATTCTACCCAAATGTACCTCTTCTTTCCCGAACTAAATTTAAGGTTAGTTTTGTACGCTTCTTTCCTTGCAAGAACAAATTACAAGAATCCCCTAAAATCAAAAGGCTTCTTATCGAGTATCTACGACAACATTTTGTTAAAACTACGTATATGCACCATGTAGTTTCAACCGTGCGCGCATATGTTAAAAATGTAGTGGCCTTTTTTTCTAAACAAGACTTTCCCTATAAGCCTCATAAYTCTATCGATTTAGCTAAGTATTGCTCTGTTTTCAAGGTACTGGACAAATGGCGGGTATTCAGTTTATTTCAGTAAGCGGTGGTGTTAGTGATTATGACATTGGTGAACTTAAAGACGCCTCGTCACAGTTCTTGGTTCGATTTGATGACCAAAATCCCAATACTTATGGAAATAAAGAGCTTACCATTAAAAACACAACGTAGGTTATTGACATCCTTGACTTGGATATTTTCTGTGCATTGACTGGTTAAAGATCGTTGTTGAATACTGTACGCATTATGACTGTTTGGGCCCTTTGCGAAGGGAGGGAGGGCGCGTTCCTTTGCCCTGGTTGGGGCATCAAGTTGTTTTAGAAGCGTTTKCAGGGTTTATCATTCTAGATAAGATTGCAGTTGCTTTTTGTTGGTTTGTAACCTATTGAAAGTAGAATCGCAAAACGCGATTTTAATTTTTTTTACTGATCACTTTGACTTTTGTATAAATAGCCTTTTCGTTTTTTGAAGGAATGTTGCGTTGCCGTTTCGATGGAAGATTTTTAAGCCATTTTTTCGAGCCCGCGAATCAGATGTYCAACTGCAGGCTCCTTTCCGTGTTCARCGCATGGCRGATGAAGATGGCGTATTTAGTATTACTCCAAATATGGGCACGCTTCCTCCTCATCAAGTTGTTCATTTTACCTTGGAGCATGCGCCTAAGAAGGTAGAAATATTTGACATGTTTCTCACATTTTAGTAATATTGGAGATACAGTTTAAACATTGTAACTTCCATTTTGCATAGAAAGGGATAAGCATTTTTCTGTCGATAGATTGGCGGCTTTCACTGTGTTGGACATCTTGTACTTGAAGAGATACCAGTCCATGACAAAACCACTTCAATATCACGTGATGTAACAGCAATAGAGGTCGAAATCAAAGCTAACAGCAAGGTTTGTGCTGGTCAAAACAAATTTTGTGAACTTATCATGTATCAATCAATCAATTTGTCAATCAATCATTCTGCCAATCAGTCAAACTGTCAACCAATCAATCTGTCAATCAATCTTTTATCCTTAGCCATTTACAGTTCAAGTAAGTCCACCTTCCCTGTGTATCCCAGGAAAACTTGCGCTGGGTACGACCTACCACTATACGGTCAAGGTATGSAATGACTTTGTTCTTTGAAAGCTTATGTGGGGTTTTGTGGATTTGTTGGGTGTGTGCAGTTCAAACTGAACCTGCCTGTGAACGGTTCTTATTTTTTCCGTAGGTCCAAAACCACAGCGTCTCCAGCGCTGCAATAGCATGGCAGAACATCACTTCAGAAGATTGCCATATACAAATTGAGCCGGCGACTTACTCCATTGGTAAGTACATTAAAAAAAAGAACAACAACAACCTGCGAATAGAGTAATTTATAAAGCACTTCGTTACAGCGCCAAATGACGAAAAAGAACTTACAGTGACTCTGATTGGCTACGTACCTGGCACAGTGGAGAAGACTTTGTTTTGTCACCTGGAGCATTCAGCTGCACCTATATACTTACACATCAAGGCTTCCTTTGAGGTAAACTATCTCACTAATACTTTATAACTACAATTTAGTACTTGTCTTTCTCGCTGAGCCTTTGGTTAAAGTTGTCCGCTATTTTACCCTTTCTTTCTCATTTTCATTTCCATTCGGTATTCTTATTCTCATTTCTTTTCTCATTTATTCTCTCAGTTCCATTCTTCTAATTATTGTCTTATTTTTAAAGGGTCCGGAAGTCACAATAGATGCCATGGATCTTAATTTTGGTTTGGTACGTCTGGGAGAGAGCACCAGCCAACAATTGTCGATAACCAATCGATCTAACATCGCAACAGACTGGAGCATCGGAGAAAGTACTTGTCTACTTAATGGGGGTGTGGAAGACCAAAAAAGTGAGTTTGTGTTTATCCCAGACTCTGGTTCTCTCAGTCCTGGACAAAGTACCATGGTAACTGTGACGTTTAATCCTGCTGTTTGTCGACGAGTGAGAACAGTTTTYCAGTGTCAAGTCAAGAACGGGAAAACTAGGTGTGTACAATTTTCATTGAACAAAAGAATGTTCTGTAAACTCTGAAATGCCGTAGTTTCAGAATCAACGGACAAATTTCGARTTGAGTTCCTTTTGCCTCATTTAAAAATTAGCACAAGTTCAGTGTCGTTGTTGAAATTTCGCCTTTTTAAAATAAAAACTGTCTGTCTGTAAACCTCCGAAGTCTGCGGCTATGCAGTTTGCGACTGAGAATGTTAGCGTTTTCCCAGCTCTTAGTTCTTGACATTTTTTCTTTCTACTTTTTTAGTTACCTGTCAGTTTTCTCAGAGGTTCAAACGCCTCTAGCTTGTCTGCTGTCATCGTGTTTGTACATAGAAGATGTGTTCTTAGCTGTACCAGTATCAAGAACGATCACATTACAGAACCAAACTCTCCTGGTTACGAAATTCAAATGGAGTCAGGTAATATCAGCAACTTGATGCAGTATATCCCATAATGTTGAGTGAGTGGATTTCTAGGTTATTGTTTGATATTCACGCAAACTTAYATATGAAATGGGGATATAAAGGGAAAAATGATCATTATTATCATTGTACTCCCTACTTCCTACCAGCTTGCACAGTCAGGTGATGGTTATCAACTTCCTTTTCTGCTCCGTTGGGATTCCTGTGTAATCTTTCTTTTCATGACAAAGGAAGTCCAACGGAGCAGTTATGGATGGAGCCTCGCGTCTTAACTGTATTATTTCTTTTTATTAATGATCAGATTATCGATGATAAAGAAAGTGACTATACCGTGACGTTTGAACCATCGTGTGGTGAATTACAGCCAAGACAAGCTTTACCAGTACAAGTGACTTTTACTGGACACAAGAAGGTAAAATGATGGTGATAGYTTGCGATGCATTAATTTGCCTTCCAAAACGTGAAATTATTATCTACTTTGACACTGTAAAAATTGTGATTGCAGGGACCCATTGATGGTCTGGTGGTATCATGTCACGTGACCGACATGGAAAAGCCTGTTTGGTTGGCTATCAGTGCCGACGTCAGAGGCCTCAATGTCACGTTTGAAATGCCTAAACAGTTGGACAACCAAACGTATGTTTCCGCTGATTTTTWCCTTATRTTTTTTCCTTAAAATCGATATATTTGCGTCTGGAACCAGCTTTTTAATTTGACTTTTGCTTTGTGTTTCAATTSTGACGTTAGTTTSATCATATTTGAATGATTCCAAATTYCCAAACGGAATAATTTAGACAACATCGCCTCATAACCCTGAAAGATACATCTTTCGATACTGACGTCATATTCGCAAAGATTCAAACATCCAATTCTTAATATCGCAAATAAAAGGATATAAAAAAAGAAATTCCTACTTTCATTTTAGTTATTCACTGAACRTTTTTGTTTTGACGCTGTATCTTTCATTTCAAGGCCCGACGAGATCAAAAAAGCAGACTTAAGTAGTCTGGAACTGTTGGATTTTGGTCAAGTTGGTCTTGGTAGCATGGCTACTACTACCCTAGTGATGACCAATACAACAGCGATACGTGCTTCATATAGTATTCATGTACAACACTTTACTGCTGCTAAACCACCCACACCACCTGATGGTATGTACTTTTACTCATTCATCATACTCAATCATAATTTCATTATGACGTCACATTAAAATATATTCGTTGTTTTAACGCAAAGGATTATGGTCACCAGAGGGGAACAGAGTGACGGTATATCAAATAAAATGTACATTAGCAAGCAATGATCTTTGATGCATGACATATCTCAAACACGATACAGTTTAACTGTCGGAGGGAATAGAAATTGGTCTAAATTTTCACTTTTTTTAGCGTCTTTCCCCAATGTAAACTTATTGTGACGTCATAATAAAATTTTGGCAATTTTCCGGTTGAACAAAGCACTCTACAATGAGTTTATGTTTTCTATTTCATTTTTTTATTTACTTTTCTCTTTTCTGTTTTTTATCCTTTTCATGTTTGTTTGTTACTGTTTTATACATCCTGTTGCTCTCTTTGTCTTCTTTCATTCCTTGTAAGAATTATCTCAACAAGTTCTTGTACTAAGTTCTTCATCTGTATTTCTTCATTTCAGGTCAGCCTGTTAAACGAGAGTAAGTAACCAAGGCAATGCATAGGTAACAGATAGCTTAGGTCTAATCTAAACCATATATGTTTCCTTTTAGTGGACGTAGACCTCAAAGTCTGTTAACTCGAACTCCAAACATCGCAAACCCTCTCAGTAAAACAGCATCCAAAGCCCACTCAGGTAAGCTTAGGCGTTGATAATCACAGTGCTAGAWAAKAAGTTGCYGATAAGATAGGTGTATTCGTAAGCCTGAGTTGTATCTAARYGRGTAATTGTGTTTCAGACCATGTGTCGGCAACACTGCGCAATGGCCGGGGTGCAGCGTTCGTAGCCACACCCTCATGTGGGGAACTTCTTCCCTATGGGTACCAGGTCGTACAGGTGACAGCTTACAATGACATGTGGGGMGATTATAGGGACTTACTGGTCTGTTTGGTGAGTATTATTCATTGGGTAAACTGGAGGAAATAGGCTCGGTTCAATCTGTGGAATCCTTAGTCTACCCCACAGGAACGCACCATGAATGAACCGAAAACTTTAGTCAGCTAATAATTCCACCTAACCTGAAATATCGTCTTGTGTAGGTGGAGGGTCTWGATCCTGTCTACATCCCCATACAAATGAGTGTGGAAGGTTGTCCTTTGAATTTCCAAATGACCAARGACCAATCGCCTATACTAAGGTAACAMSGATTCTCTTTYTCAATAAGTAAGKAGTGGTCAGTATGTATTGAGTCAGCCTTGAATAGCAGGCTTGTTTCCTYTGTGTTGTCTCTCCCAACTCAGCTTCGTTTCGTTACTTTCTCCAAATACAAGGAAGCAGCCTGCACTATATATAACTCCTTTCACCATGTCGATATTTTTGACATCTCTTATTGAGTATTGTATATAGGCTATAACCAACSTATGTATTATATGGATGAGCATAGCTTGGCAGTATGCATTCACAGTTATTATTCCAGTCTATTTCTAAATACGTATTTGTTGTATAGGTTTGGTACACACATATCAGGCGCCATGCCTGTGACAAGATCTCTTAGAGTCAACAACATCAGTCCATTTGGTATGTATAGAGAAATCAAACGGGAAAAATGAAATGAGTAATAACATTAACGATTATGGCAAATACTCGGACGCGCTACGACAACTTGAATGTATGGTCACATGGGCAGTATCAGGAACAATAAGAAGGCAGCAGCAACAACAACAACGGCGACTTCGCAACTGCTTGAATATAACATCAATACGATGGCTGCGGTAACAGTAGCAATAACACGCAATAACTATGTCTTATTTATCCTCGTTATTACCAGATATACGCCTTGACTGGAGTACATACAACATCGAAGAGAACGACAATCAGTTACTAGATATGATAGTTTCATATGGCCAAGCTCTACCTCTGTTTGATAGTAAAGGACAAGAACTACCCCCACCCCCTGCGGTATGCGATTTGCCGTGTTTCTCACCACCATTGATACAAGTGAAATTACGTGAACACGAAGGCATTCGCTCCAATAAACCTTTTGAAATCAAGCCGAGCCAACAGGTAACTGATAAGGTTATCACTGTTAAATATGTATGTCAATCCACGAGTTAATCATGTATATCAATCCACGAGTAAAACATTCAGGCCTAGAGTAACTCATTTGTAAAATGCATTTCACTATCATCATTATCAGGCATCATCATGAACTATGATTTCATCATCAATTGTTCTACCTCTAATGACCAATATGAGCTCATTTACGAGCRGCATTACACAAAATAACAAAGCTACTTCAGTGTGCCAACATCGACTTTTRGAAAATCTGAAATGCTGCGGCCGTTTTATAATTTATAATCTTACATATATGCAGCTTGCCCCCAAAAAGMTGTCTTTGTATGATTCTTAGCTTGTCATGAACAAGGTAAAAATATATTAATGTTTGTTTTCTTGTTAGATTATTCCAGCCAAAGGTCATACCAACATGTCTGTTACCTTTACACCGTTTACTACTAGAAATACTGGTCACACCTGTACAGCTTTTGCTTCAGCATACATGAGCCTGGATGGATCGGTAGGGACGACACGTAAAGGCTGTCTGTGTCTTTATGTTGTGTGGCTTCATGTCTGTCCGTCTATCTGTGTGTTCAATAACGAAATATAACAGTACTGTTAATTTGCAGGATATCGATATACCAGGTCGTGTAGAACGACGTCAAGGAATGAATATGACACGATTTCGACTTGATGTGACRGCCAACATCAACCCAGCATTGTAAGTCATGACCTGGCCAGTTAATGGGCCATTTTGTCACTCTATTGGCTTTGGATTTGCCTATACCGTTGTTATAAATTGTCTTGCATTGTATCCCCTTTTCTTTGTCTTTATTGTCGCAAAAGTGAATCCCCCTCACACAAAATGTTATATCTGTAAGCTTATTACCATATGAACAAAACATCAACAAACAACATTGATCAAGGGTGGGAAGGGGGACAGTTATGGAAAAGGGAAAGTGAAAATTATGTATACTGTATGGAATAGCTTAATTATAATTTTCAATGATTGTTGCTACATATATAACATGTCCTTTCCTTAAGGTACAATCACTGATTGAGATATTTGTCTAACTAGGCTGTCTATTGAAATGGATGAAGACGAGGGYTGTCATTTTTCGACTGCTGCCAGTGACTTAGTAAGTAATATCAATTTGCGCACAAAACTTCACTAGAACTGATACTAATTGTGAAGCCACTTATTCCTCAAACATCATTTAATGGGTTTTTCACTATATTTAGCTGACTGAAAATGCTGTGAAAATCCATCGATTCATACTGGCYAACACCACGGAAACACCGCTGTCCTTGARTATGRTGGTCGAYTCTCCCTTCAARATCATCTCGACTGAGCCCCCTCCGTCAGCTAAGTCTACTCGGTCCCAGGCCAATGGCTTAACGACGGTCAAACCTGGCAAAAATATCGAGGTGGGTAAATCATTCAAATGAATGAATGGATGAATCAATCAATCAATGAATCAATCAATCAATTGATCGATCACAATCGGAAATACTACCTTTAGATCATTAAAATCAAATCAAAGATTGGATCTATGGCTAATAATTTTTATGYGAAACTTTTTCCTTATGCATCATTTTAGGTTAAAGTTGGTTTCGATTTGACTGAGCAACTTTTATCTCGAGTAAACGAATTACCTGTTGATGAAGAGATGGATGGATGCCTCCTTACTGTCACTGAAACTGGACAAAGAACAATTACTTTTAAGAAGGATCTCGTCGTTGAATTCTCGAACAAATCAAAGCAGGTATTTACAACATTAAGTTTAAAAATCCCATTTTGTATACTTGTCATAATCACTGTCTATACAATCAAGCCTTTTGAATCAATTGTCACATGACACAAATCCGCCATGCTGTATGGCGACTTCTCCTTGGTTGACTAAAGGTTATTTTAATAGCCACATGCATACTGATGCAGGTATATTGCTTTACAATAAAGAGTAAACATCTCTCTGCTTGGTTGTGTCAGATTGTTTTTACAGCCATATATTCATTCTTAAAATTGCCATCCATTATGGCGGATTTTTTACGATGTGTACTTTCGATGCAAAAGCCCTATTAACTAATGAATAAAGACCTATATTTATGTTGTCTTGGAATATCTTGTAGGTGCTGCCTCTGACTGGTTCTATCGCGGTACCAACATTGCGTCTATCCAAGAAAGAACTTGACTTTGGTATGTGTCTTGTGGGACAGGAGCAAGAGTTACAGATCATCTTGACAAAYCCCTCGGAGTCCATTTCAGCCTGGATGGCTGAAAAAGGTAAGAAACACGAAGTGTTCATGGTCTAATGGTGTATAGCCTCTGTTAGCGAGATCGGAAAATCGTGYCCAMTTYGTTGGTGAGATTTCTATCAGTTCSWTATTTTCACTTGCATTTSAATTCTCTGTCAAAATTCTKYTTTCAAACYCMAWAATCTTTTCTTKCAGACGGCAGGTGCCCCGAGGTCAGTCGGGATGCCTTCTCTGTGTATCCTGCTGAAGGACGTCTCGAAGCATACGTTAATCACGTGGCTAAGAATAAAGCTTTGATCAAAATAACATTTACCGCCAGGTATGAATAAAATGTATAGTGATGTAACCTACCKTGGTATACCTGTGTTATCAGAGGAGGGGCAACYGRGRCGGGGACAACACTTTTTAGATTTSAGAATAATTATATTGCGATAAAAGCCCTTTTAGCTTCGTAACTTTATGCTGAAATTAGAGGAGAGAGAGAAAGCGGCCCGACCTGTTTATAATCTACGTGAGATATATTTCGGGGTATCTTTTGCAGAAGATCATGTTATTTAAAATGGTTTCTTTTAGAAAAAGATTCTGGTAGTTGTCTTAAACGTTGTTCCAAGGTTCTTTGCTACTCGCTTACCGAAACCATTTTGAAGAAAAAATAGAGCGGGATAATATAGATGTCATTGTTGTGAATTCTCATTTTCCCTCGGTATACTTCACTAAATCAGAGGATCCCTTTCGAAGTATTGGTTGTTGTAACATTGTTTTGTTATTTTGTAGGCACAATGTCGAGTACGAATGCATCATTTTATTCAAAGGACAGCTACAAGAAGAAGTACAGCAGTTGGTTGTCAAAGGTCGAGGATCCTACGATGGTCGATATGAAAACCTTGTGAATGTCATTACCGAGTTTTAGATGTTAGGCTGTTAGTGTAGGTATTTAGTCACTTGTATATATGTATTAAAGAAATGTATATTAAATTTTAGCGCTGATTTTGATAAGACTATCTTTTATCTGTTTTTTTTTTTTCAATGATCGACGTAAAACGACAACGACATACAGAAACTCACTATTTCTCTCACAATTCATGTCAGGTTAAAATGAGCAAGTTTTTTTGTTTTTTTTTTGAATTGCTTTGAATTAATAATTACTTTTATTGCGTTTCACACAAATTAAATAGATATATTTACAATTAAGATAGTTTAGTTTAAAAAGGTGGATATTTACAAAGACAGGATTACCGTTATACTAACCTAGTCCAGTTTCATAGATGCTCTAGTATAAGCAATGAAGGGTGATGGGTCGACTTAAAACTTGCTCTATGATGTMATCAATAGAATATCTAATTAACAATTAATTAGAGTGCATTGGTGATCAATGAGTAAACAGTAAAAAAATCATGAGCCTTCTAAAACCCGTTAACCAACCAACCCAACCGTTAGGTTGTTTTCGAGACAGTAATTAACAAACTAGTTCAGTCTTTGCCGGTTTTCACTATCTTAACCCTATAAAACCGGCAGTCTTTCATGTCAACATTGCCGAGTGTCATTCACCCAAAGCTTCGCTTATCGTCATCTTTTTCAACCTATTCCGTAATTCTGGACGTTGATCAAGAAGCTTTGTCTTCCAGACCCCCGCGGCTTCTATRACAGGCGTGGAACACTCGTCTCTACTAAGGTTAGGGACGGTATCTCGACCAGAGGACTTTCCCTTCATAGCTTGAATAACTCTTGCTTTGACTTGATTTCGGTAGCTGTCCATCACTGGTGCTGATGTAACTCGTTTGTTGGTGGTATAGTCACGTGTTTGACGACGTCTACGCGATGACGTCAGAGCCTGTGTCGTATGAGGACGACGACGACCTATTCGGGAAATGTTACTTCAGTAATGAATGTCATCGATTGGTTTTTATACAATTATGTCGCTGCTTTTTTGAAAACATGTGCTGATAAGTCACTTTGTTACTGAAATTATCATGTTTAGTTTTGCTTGAAGTTCAAGTGAGATTCACTTACCCTCCCCATGTGGAAGCTTTGTTGGAACTGGTGGTCCTCCGTTGATCTCAAGACTAAATTTAATACAGAAAAAGGCAGTTAGACAAAATGAAATTGGGACGACCGCACTCGTCTCTGGATGGTAAGAGTTGAATTCTATGGTCTGGACGATCGCTTCTCAATCAACCTCGGGGATCAAGGCACAGGTAATCTCCAGTTGCTTATTCTTAGAGCGACAAAAGAAAKATYACCCATGCTGCTTCMCAATCACCAATGAACAGTTGATGGTTGGGTTTAGTGACGCGTTTTTGAACAGCGGTTTGTTAAAGATAATTGTCTGCGSAAATACGGTGGGTCTTTTGYTAGTTTTTCCTAGTGATGTCTCAATTTTGCGCGACATTAAAAAAACATCTATTTATCCTGCGCTTACCTTTCTGATGGAAGTCCAACAGACTTGGTCTCTTTCCAATCATCAATAAATACCATGGCAACTTTTCCACCGCCTAGATTTGATATYAGAGCATCAAACAGCCCTGGTGTATTGCGACACGATACCAGCATCATTCGTTCTGCCGTACGATTAAACGACAGATACCCCAGGGCAACAGCAGCACTAATACGAACTCGATCGTTATCGGAAAACAAGCTTTTTAGCAACGATTCTACAGCACCTATAAACGTAAAAAAACTCTTCGCATGATAGTTCTTGATAAATTGAGTTAATTGTTGATCAATTAATGCGGAAAATATTAAAACATTTGAAGTGTTTGCGCTAACATCTAAAATCACCTACCTGCTGTAATGAGGGCGTCAGGAATCCCTGCACGAGAATGACCAAGACTTGCCGTCAGACTTGCGGCCAACACTTTCGTCGCGTCGTCTTCTGAACGAAGCAACGACACCAGCATCTCAACCCCACGTGCTGTCAACGTCACTTGGTCACAGTCTCCTATCACACGCGCAAGGATAATGATCTGAAAGGCCGCGTGTGCCTGGTGCAAGTTTTCGTCTGATGATAAGAATTCTTCAAATGAACTCAGAAGTAATCCTCCAGCCTTTTTGATAGCATACTGCTGACCAGTGTTATTGTATCCAAATGTGGAGAGCGCCATTCCCGCTTTGAGCCTAACTTCTTGGTCAGTGTCCTTCAGTAAGTGCATGATGTCAACCACTGTGAACTTGGTCTGCTCCGATAAAATCTTTTGTGTTTGGTTGTTGTTCAAAACAATTTTAGCAATACAAATTGCAGTTTCAACCTGTAAAAGAAAATAAATGACTGAAAATGATCTACTTTTGATTTAGATTCTAATTTTTCATGAGCTAGCGCGAGCGCTAAAGAAATCGATAACCGCTCGAAAACCGAAGATTTGCCGAATGCGCGCGGACAACCACTTTGACGTCATAAAGGTCCAAATTTGAAATCGAATCTCACACGCAAAGCGCTTTCAACATGGTCCACTGTTATTTCAAGTAAGTAAACGAATTCTGTTTTATCATTCCAAGCTAGTTTATTCAGTTACACAGTGACTTACCTGAACAAGAGAAACTTTGGAATTTCTGAGTAAMTTAACGAGTGTTATCAAGGCTTCTGCATTAGCGATTTCCATCTGTGTTGACTTGTTGGACTGATGTGCAGGTCCAACACAAAGTATTCCCAACACACGAATTACCATCAAAAGAACCTTAAAAACATTTTAAAAAAACTGGTCAAGAAATAATGAATACAATGCGAAAAAGATGAGTACGTAGTGTGCGCAAAGCTGTTGATTTTCCTGTTTGCTTTTTTGTTTGTTTTTT